TGAAGGTATACTCAAAGTATAAGATGGGTGTTGGACCAGGACCAGCAAAAGGAATCCACTTTTCAACGTCTGAGAGTTTTTAAGACAGAGTAATGCACGACCAAATAGACAAAAAGGATTTATGACGCGGCTGCGCTCAACACAAGAGACACTTTGCTGAGTCTTTCCTCGACGTCTTCTGTTACGACTCTCAGCTCGTCAAACTAGTAGAAGCTGATGTGTGTGCAGCGAGGTCTGCCTGACACAGAGGATTGTGAATGCATCGCGGAGACCTTTCAGAACAAGCCGGAAGTTCTTGCTGCCCATCGCGTTGCCGTGCATCACACCATCCTGTCCTGGCCGGCGGACCACATGCACGCCGGCAAACTTGGATTCTAAATTGGACTAGAAGATGAACACATCCTGCGAGTGTGGGATAAACGTTAGTAAACGGTGAAAGTTTATCCATCCACTGATAAAGACCATCTGAGGTGGTTGAAAGCTCTGGGGGAGAAGAAAAGCTAGTAAGTGGACCTTGTGTTACGATCGTCAAAGAAAACGAGAAGTCAAGATTTTTTTTTGTGCTGCTATCAAAGTCAAAACTAGGGATTTAATAATAATATAATGTTTCAATAGTTTTGCCAGTAAAATACCTGAGTTTCATCCCAAATTCATGATACCAAAGCAATGCTTTTCCCCCCCCCAATACCTTAGTTCAGAGTATGCAAAGCTGCTCACTGCATCAGTGTTAGTGCCTATAATAACATAATATGAAAGGCATGGCTGTCAAACATACAGCCCGTGGGTCACAACAGGCCCACAGGCGAATGATACGAGAAGTTGAGAAGATAAATGAATGGTCGGCAGGTTTGAGAGATCAGAGAGACGTCTCTTGGCTGCTCATCGACTGTTCTGTAAAACCGAGTTCATTAACTGTGAACGTTTGCAGAATGTACGTGTACCTATTGACACTCAAAGAGAGGGAAGCATTCAAAGTTGATGTCATTTATTGGTTATTATGCAATGGTTTTACTTGAAATCAAACTGGGCCCACGAACTACAGCGAGTTTGACATGTCCCAGTTTGGAATGACTTTCTTTCTTTCTTCAAAAAGCAAGTTGACATTCTATGTTACTCTTCATAACTCAAAGCTACAGGCTTTACTCACCAAGTATTGAGGCCCAATACCAATTTGATGCAAGTTTTATGAGTGTCAGAGCAGTGTGGTCAAAAATAAATATATGAAATAATATTTTCTCCGACAGCGAGTTGATACACCCACGAATGATGTATCTTTCAATAAAAAGCTACATTTTAAGCCCTCAATGGTGCGTGGTATCGAAAATCGATATTTTTCGAGGTATTATAATCAAAGTAAGAAAATTCCAGTATTGTGGCAACAATATGTTGGAGCGAAGCAACACTGTCGTGTACAGGACTCTGAATGCACCACGGGAACCACTTATCAATATATGAATTATTACTCAGGCACTCAAGTAAAACACTTCTTTAGCGCTGGGCAGCAGTTTGGGAAGGACAATGTCCTGTATTTATTATCACCAGCATATTTCATACAACAGAAACAGAGAAAGGTGTCACTGTGGACGGAGGTCTCTACTAACATGGAGACCCAAGTTTGTAGTTCTCACAAGAAAGCAGCATTTTAAAGATCAGACGCTGTGGTGTAGACTTCACATCATTTATGAAAAAACACACCATTTACTGAGTGATCCGACAGCCCACACACACACACACACAGCTGTGATGTTTGCCCTGCAGTGGTTTTGACACCTCTGTGGTGTTTCTGACCAATGGGTGTGAAGCGTGCATACATGTGGTCACCTCAGTGCCAAACGTGGGACATCATTCTTATTTGTTCAGGACTAAACGAGAGCGAGAGTTTTCTGCACACTCACGGTTTGAGTCAGACAGACTCGCGGTGTTTTTCACTGTCAATAAACATAGTCATGATACTTATGTGCCATCCTGTTGTCATGGCGATATGAGGAACGTGGGAGCTGTTCTCCCGGATCCATTTGTCATATTATGTTTACAATATATCTATGGTTTTGTCCCGCTGATGAATACTGTAGTTTGACTTTTTTGTTATTCTGTATGTGTATTGGCAATAATGTGGTGATACAATACGTATCCTGACACAGGGGCTATGATTCAATTCATTGCGATACTGTAAGCAATGCAATTTTTATTTTGTTAAATCTAATTTTAGGAAAACTGTGCATAATCTGAGTTAAAAGAAGAAGAAAAAGAACAGTGTGATTTGCATTTGCATTTATCACAGTCCATCCGACGTCTTAGCCCTACTCTGTGTGCAACCTGAGAAAAGGAAATAACATTCTACATCAGTCAAAAATACATACAGTCAATTAAGTTATTTTTTCCCCAAAAAAATTTGATTTCAAAATCGAATCAATACACTATCACAAAACATAATATCACCATACTCAAATGTTTTTTTGTTCTAAAACATACAATTATTCAGTAAATACACCACTCGTAATTAGTTTTTTGTAAAATTGTGACGCTTTTATATTTTGTTTAAGTTGCTAACGAGTGGCTAAATGAGACTACAAAACGTCACCATGGTGAACACGCCTTTCGCTTAGTGGTGCCGACGTGACTTCATGTGACCGTATTGTTGGTATTTTTTATAGCCTAACGTTAGCGTTTTACTTTTGCCGATAGCATTCATGCTTCAAAAGTCATAAACATTGGTGATCATCGTGAAGACGATCTCGCTGAACAAAACGTGTAAGTATCATCAACGTTTGTTCACCACAAAGCGCATTTTCTACAAAAATCTAATGGAAGAATCCCATTCGCTTTTTGTTGAGGGAAGCAGTGTGATGCTAACTTCCTGCTTAGCCTACAAAAAGTAGGCTAGTTACAAGGTAGGTTAGGGTCAAAGGTCGGACGGTGTCTTTTTATGTACAGATAGTAACGCCCCTAAGGCACATTTGTGATGAGTGATATTGGGCTACAGAAATAAAAGTGATCTGACTGAAGGTCCTCTGTGTCGTAACGTTCTGAATAGAGGTAGGAGGTGGTACAAAGTTCACTCCTGCTATTGTAAGTAGTTGCTTCCATTGGTTATCATGATGCTTTTGTAAATCAGTTCTTTTGGTGTTGACTCTTGACCCTGATAGAGTTAGAATGTTTAGTGACATGGTTTGACTGGAGTAAAAGTAAAAGTGAGGCAAAACATACTTGAGTCAACGATTGTTTTTTTGCACTTATGATATGTTACGTGTTGGTTATGATGCTGTTGTAGGTCCGTAGTCGTTTTTTTGCACTTATGATATGTTCCGTGTTGGTTATGATGCGTTGTTGAGCAGAATTACTGTTCTGTAATAAATGCATTTTTTCAGTGGACTATTCGGGAATATAGGGCTGTCGTCACTTTAAGAGATTATACAAAATGATCTGAATGCACACAGCCTTACAAATCAAACGATAATTTTAATTTATAAACTGCATGAAATGAACAAAACCACAAAGAAATATCGGAATAAAGAACGGGTAAAGGAGGACTCAGCCGACCGACCACACATTCAGTGCCAACTTTTGACACGATGCAGTTTTCCATCATAAGTCTTTTGCCCCTAAAAAAATACTAAAAGAATACTAAGGGCAGTACATTGATATAATAATATTCAACATTTTTTTAAGTAGCACCTCGCTCCAATACCCACAGACCCAGTGGATACATTTCCTTTGTTTTTTAAATACTTAATTTACAGCACAAGACAAAACTCACACCATCTTTAACAACATCAAACCTAAATTTGGGTGTATATTTTGTTTGGATATCTTATTTATCGTCATTTCTACCATTTAAACATTTCGAAATAAACCATTTAATCTCCAGAGAATTGCACCCTTTGGGACTCTTTACCAACCGTGTTTACCTGGTTTAGAGAGGGTTATAATCAGGAGGCAGGCTTATAAATGTGTCTAGGGGAGGTAAACGTGACATTTAAAGGCAAGAATCAAACGTGAGAGCATAATATTCACTCACTGAGGGTAAACTCACTGTAACGCATCCTGTTCTCTGTAACTAACGATGTGCACCATTATGAGAACTAGTTCCGAGCGGATGCTGACAGTTCTATGAAGGCATAGCTTTAAAAGGAAAAGCACAGATATCATGTCTTTAGTGAAAATAATTAGATTATCATCACCAGATCTGGACTTGAGGTTAATATGCATCTTTTACTGGACTACAGTTTATAGGTCTGTGTAGGTTATACTTTATATATATATATATATATATATATCAGAGCATGAAATATCAAGCTTTAGTTTTAAGATGCAAGCAGACAAACACGAGCTAGCTAATGCCTTGCATCCATATGAGAGGAAGGTAAGCTCCGCCTCTAACTGGGCACTTAAAGATAAAATAATAAAAACCGCAAATTAGCCGCTGGAGAAAGTACGACTTATAAAAGACCTTGACCCGGAGTGGGAAAAACATTTTTTAGCGTGTCCGGCAGCGTTTTCTTCCCGCAAAAATAAGACATTCCAGCTTTCTTTTTTCACTATCAAAGCAGAAAGTCTGCGTGACACCCGACACCGAGCAGGAATGGCTCGCGCTGCCGAGGCCCGAGAAAAATAGCCCAGGCTCGGCTTCAAACTTCATTTATGCTCCGACACATTTAAACTCGTCAACCGCACCGGTTCTGACAAAGCGCGAGAGGCTGTTTGGCTACACTGGGCTTTCTCCTCCAGTGTGTCGCGCGCACCTATGCAAAAGTTTCGAGACTTTTCATTGCAACTACTGTGTTGTTGTACCCTTGGGACACACAAAAAACCTCAACTTTCAGAACAAGGAATCACAGCTAGCGCTGTGGCTCAACTCAATGCGGGAGCGTTAGTGGGGAACGAGGCGCACGGATACAACAGCGTGTTAACGACGGTGTTCTTAACGCGCCTTTCTCCCGGTGGCTCCGCGGTCCTTGTTCCTTGCGGATCCATGTTGTGAACAAAAAAAGTCAACGTACCGTCAACCGCCGACAGCAGGCAACTCCACAGCAGCAACACCACCAGCCGACCGCCCATTTCAAGTCCTCTACCCGTTAAATCCATAACTCCCGATCCATTGTTGGGTGATTTACTCCGTAATTAAGTTGTAAAGACGTCCGCTTTTCTGCGTGTACATGTGCACGCACGGGCCAGTATTCCGTTGACCCACTAAATATGTGTCTGCACGCGTTAGTGTGCGCTCCTCTGTGCGCCCCTCTCTATCGACAACACTTTTTTCTCTCTTTAGGGGCTCGCGCTACTTGCTTTATACTTTGGACTGTCGAGCTCGCGCACGGATAGAAAGGGCAGGCGGACGTGGTGTGACGTCATCCGACACGAGGCAGCAAGATTTATTTATTTGTATTCACTAATTTGACTTTTGTGTTATTGTTATAACTTTGTGAAACGTATTTACTTTATAATTTGTTGTATAATATTTTTGGGGAAAATGTATGTACGCAAAAATATGCAAACCATAGATTATCTTATTATATATGTTACATTTCCAGAAGATAAATCTGAACATTGGATAAAGCCAGGGTTTAACAATCTTGTTTCATGTTAACATATTAGAGTCAAAGGTTTTTAACAGAAGGAATATTGAATATCAAATTTATCATAACAACGTTGAGAGTTGATTACTTTTATTGAGGCAATTTTTTATTATTTTTGAATACCAAGTTATCTGGAATGTTATGTTTGAATATGCAAATGAGGCATTATATGGTAACTCTTGGTAAGTTTAGCAGAAATCTACAGATAATAGACACTAAATGTGTATTTTGGATGTTTTCTCACTAGTCTGAAAGAAGACATGTTATGGAAGCAAAATAATCCAAAATCTTAAAAATGACCAGTGCATAAAAAGCAATGGTTTTGCCTCTAGTGTCTCCCCTTAAAACAGAAATGTATTCCTTGTCCATGTTATTCTGAAATAAGATTTCAAGTAATAGGTTAGCCCCCCCTTGACAAAAAAAGCTTTTACACAATTTAGCATGAAACAAAGGAAATAACCAGTTCAGCTATTGTGTAAATTTGGGACACAAAAGAATCAGAGGCTCTTCAACCAAAAAAATACAAAACAAAAACAATCTATCAAACAACTCCTTATGATGAAATTGATAATTGTGCCCGTCATAACTTTAATTTAACAAAAGAATTTGAATAAAAACTATATTTTAAATATACAGCTAAATAACGTCCTTCCACAAAGCTAAACAATGAAAACATCTAGTATACACGTAACTAACCAGACTAGAAGGTAAGTTGCACTTCACTGCATAGGTAACAAAAGTAAAAGTGCATATTTAACTGCCTGCCCTCCCTCTTGGTATGGACGTGTTTCAAAACATCAAAGAAAAGAAAAAGAAAAAATGTTCATACACAGTCCGCAATCATTTGATTTACATGATAAGTAGGTCGTCATAACGATTGCAAATGAAAAAAAGGAGAATACGGAGTGAAAGGGAAACCCTTGAGGTAATCCTTTATAGTTATAACAAGACTAGCTTACAGTTTGCATATTGTTATAATATATCAGTGCCGAATGCAATTTAAAGTGCTGCACGGATTATTCAAAATCAAAAATAAATAAAACAATTGCTTAGTGTTTCCCTCTCTCTGCGACATATGTCAGATCCAAGAAGCCACTTTAACAAAAACAGTTTGGCTCTCTGCCCAAGGATAGAAAGCCTTTGGAGCAAAATATTCAGCATCTTCTCCAATATATTAACTAAAGTCAGATTCAAAACTGAATACGCTGGGAACACCAGAGGCATTTAGATGGCTTAATCAAAACAATGACTTAGAATCTCAAAATAATGATCACAAATGGGCTTCTATACTCTTGCTTCTGTTGCTCTGGTTTAATGGATGATGAAAGCAGATACTACGTCATTATTTGAGATACTAAGTCATTATTTTGAGATACAAACGAATTAATTTGGGATACTTAGTCATTATTTTGGGATATTTAGACATTATTTTGAGATAGTACGTCATTATTTGATCAATTCATTAACTTGGTATCTTAAAATAATGACTTAATATCTCAAAATAATGTCTTATTATCTTGAAATAAGGACTTAGCAGTGGCGGGCCTTGCATTTTATACCTGGGCCTTCACTGCTGTCCTGCAGCTGAAACACCTCATTATGATGCCACAGCTATGGTTATTTGTTTCATGTAAAAATGAAGCTCAACACCTATAAACACACTAACTGCAGAGTGCAGATACATGAATACGCGGAGTGCGTCTCCTCTCTGCTCTGACTGCAGATGGGACTGCTGTGCGAGGCTGCTGTAAGAGGAAACGCCTGTGAGTGCTTTGGTGCGACTCACGGCAGCACCCGCTGCTCGTTCACGACAGTGCAGAACGTACGTGCTTTAACGTCAGAGTCAAAACACCACAAAAGTCTCCAATAACACCAGAACAAGTCGCTAGATTTGTCACTAGTAGCTTTTGACAAAAAAAGTCGCCATGAGGGTTTAGAAAGTCGCCAGATTTAGTGAGCAAGTCGCCAAGTTGGCAACACTGGCACCGACTAAATGTGTCCCCAGAGCAACATTGGACGTAACAATGGTTCCTATCACATATAAAACCAAACAATAATCTAACTTCATAAAAACAAGTTGTACAAATAATAATATGTAAACAAGCATATTAAAGCTACTGCAGATGTAAAAACAAAAGCAGTTCACTTACCAGAGCTGCTGTTCACTATTTAAAGACAAAGTGCATCCTCCTTTCTTTGTTAATAAAGAGTTTAATCTCATGGTTGTTCAGTACATCCGTGCATTTTAGTTCCAGTAAGAAGTCCTTCTCGATTCATGGACGCCAGTGAAGACAGTCTAGCCTCCCCAGTTGTATTTCTTGAATACGTTTTAATGCGTTTGAGGGCTGAAAATGTCTGCTCCACAGAGGCAGCAGATATTGGTATTGTCACCGCCCAACATGTCACACTAGCCCACTGACCAATCACATATGGCTAGGCCAGCTAGAAGGCTCTGGCACGTCAAAGAATACGCCCAACATGTCAAACTAAAGATCTGATTGGTTGAAGACTGTGACAATCAACAATATCGTCCCCATTCACTTAAACTGCAAAGGGATTCACTTGTGAGTCTGCAGGCCTCGGGCCTCTGTTCTCACCTAGAGACACAGAGGTGAAATCTGATTGGATAAAAGCTCTACTTAAAACAAGCTGCACTGGAAGCAGAGCAACTGAGGAAGACAGTAGCTGTGCAATGAGAAAATAAGATAATGGGAAAAAAATGACAATACATGTAGTGTATTTAAGAAAAATTATTAAATTATAAAATAGCTATAACTTTGTGATTCTGTCTAGGCCAGCAGAGAAGACCTTGCAGGCCCTGACGGCCCACCACTGGGACTTAGTATCTCAAAACAATGACTTAGTATCTTAAAAGTATGAGTTAGTATCTCAAAATAATGTCTTAGTGTCTCAAAATGTCAATCACATTTTCAGAAATGGGCTTCTACACACTTGCTTCTGTAGCTTTGGTTCAATGGAAGCCCATTTCCACAAATCTGAGTTAGATTAGATTCTAACTTACTATTTTGAGATAGTTTCTCATTATAAGTTCTTACAGCATAGTTTTATCACAATGGCAGGAATGGGCTTCCATAGTACAGTAGCTGGTGTCCTTTAGTGAAACCTAGCCTGCCCTATAAACACTGCCGCACTGACCGTTGCACCTCACAGAAGTGTTGTACAGTAGTCACTGACATGTTATTCCTACAGCCTTAACAGCTTTAACAAAGGTTTAGTCAGGGATAAAAGGTCTGACACCAGAGCTTCCTGTAGCCTACCAGCAGGTTGCAGCTTCAGCGCAACAATTGTTGCTACTCAGTGGAAACAGCCTGCACATGATGCGTGGCATTTCACTGTTTTGGACACATTTATTGCAGTAAATTCAGATGTTAGAGCATACACCGCCAAACACAGTGCAATCTCAATCTGTTAGATAATGCCAGAGGAAAGATCAAGGCTTTGATTATCCAGCCGTTTATTTGAACCACCTGTAGATGTTGGAGGGTTCTCTTGTCTTCTACGTGTTGAGTTTTAACTGGCATCACACAGCAACCAGCTCAAACTGTTTTTGTTTAAGGTTTAAGTGAATCCTAAATCAGCTTTGTTTAGTGTTCATGTTTGTATTCCTTTATTGTGACCAAATAAAACTCCCCTGAAAGGCTATGTGCTGTACTTTTGCCAATCTGTGGCCTTGTTGTTTTGGGTCTTCTAGTTTTGCTGGATTCTGTTCAGAAGCAATGATAACCATGTTTTGTTTTTAACCACACAGAAGTCTTGCAAAGGTAGTTGGAGAATGGTGGGCCAGCAGAGCACAACACTTTGGTATTTATAACAAGAAAAGAGAATGATTATTGAATACAAAATCAATATTTAACCATATTTATAAGACCATGATCATTTCCGAACTTCAACCAAGTGCTGTGGGAGCGTAAAACAGAACCATAAAAAACAATATCATGCTTCAGTAGCTACAAGCTGTTTCTTTTTGGTTGTGGCTTTGCCTTTTATGTCCAATTAAAGGAATAGTTTGGAAACTACTCTCATTCACTTTCTCCCTGAGAGTTAAGAGAAGACAAATATCGATTTCATGTCTGGAAGTGCCCTTGAGGCTGAGGGGTTAATTTTAAAGGATGGCATGACACAAAGGGCTTTGTGTCATGTCATGCCCTATCTGATGCTATGGAAGGAAACTTGATTCAAATTATAATAATAATGTAATTCCACAATTGCATTATATTTTTCAACGTATGTGTTAAATTTAAAAGGGACAGTGTATAGGATTTAGGGGGATTTATTAGCAGAAATGGAATACAATGTATATGTTTTCATGAGTGTATAGTCACCAAAAACTAAGAATCTTTGCGTTTTCATTAGCTTAGAATGAGCCCTTCATACCTACATACTGAGCAGGTCCTCTTCACTGAGTCCGCCATGTTCCCCCACCATGTTTCTACAGTAGCCCAGAACGGACAAACCAATAACATGGCTCCTGAGAACCTTTCAAGTTTTTATGTTACCTGAAGGCCACCATAGTTCTCTGACACACTTGGAGCGCAGAGGTATTCAGTTTGTTGCAATCTGCAACCTCACCACTACTAAATACTACTAAATACACTCCTTTAAAATGAACATGACATTTCAGACGCCCAGTATATTCATTTTCACATATGGGTGTTCCATGACCATAT